GCCGTCTTATTTCCAACCCAAACGTCAGCGATCTACCTTGTTCCTTCTTTCAAGCAGCTTCAGAGATGCTTCCCCCCATCCTCCTCCCAGGCAAGGAAGTGCTCTGGCAATGATATGGGGGGAAAAGCCATAGTCTGCAGGGCTGAGAGGGAGGGTGCCAAGGGCAGGCAGGGAGTCGGTGGCAGAGCCGGGAAGAAGAGCACCAAGGGCAGGCAGGGAATAGGTGGAAGAGCCGGGAAGAAGAGTACCAAGGGCAGGCAGGGAGTCTGTGGCAGAGCCAGGAGGGAGGGTACCGAGGGCAGGCAGGGAGTCGGTGGCAGAGCCGGGAGGGAGGGCACCAAGGGCAGGCAGGGAGTCGGTGGCAGAGCCGGGAGGGAGGGCGCCAAGGGCAGGCAGGGAGTCAGTGGCAGAGCCGGGAGGGAGGGAGTCGGTGGCAGAGCCGGAAGGGAGGGCGCCGAGGGCAGGCAGGGAGTCGGTGGCAGAGCCGGGAGGGAGGGCGCCAAGGGCAGGCAGGGAGTCGGTGGCAGAGCCGGGAGGGAGGGCGCCAAGGGCAGGCAGGGAGTCGGTGGCAGAGCCGGGAGGGAGGGCGCCAAGGGCAGGCAGGGAGTCGGTGGCAGAGCCGGGAGGGAGGGCGCCAAGGGCAGGCAGGGAGTCGGTGGCAGAGCCGGGAGGGAGGGCACCAAGGGCAGGCAGGGAGTCGGTGGCAGAGCCGGGAGGGAGGGCACCAAGGGCAGGCAGGGAGTCGGTGGCAGAGCCGGGAGGGAGGGCACCAAGGGCAGGCAGGGAGTCGGTGGCAGAGCCGGGAGGGAGGGCACCAAGGGCAGGCAGGGAGTCGGTGGCAGAGCCGGGAGGGAGGGCACCAAGGGCAGGCAGGGAGTCGGTGGCAGAGCCGGGAGGGAGGGCACCAAGGGCAGGCAGGGAGTCGGTGGCAGAGCCGGGAGGGAGGGCACCAAGGGCAGGCAGGGAGTCGGTGGCAGAGCCGGGAGGGAGGGCACCAAGGGCAGGCAGGGAGTCGGTGGCAGAGCCGGGAGGGAGGGCACCAAGGGCAGGCAGGGAGTCGGTGGCAGAGCCGGGAGGGAGGGCACCAAGGGCAGGCAGGGAGTCGGTGGCAGAGCCGGGAGGGAGGGCACCAAGGGCAGGCAGGGAGTCGGTGGCAGAGCCGGGAGGGAGGGCACCAAGGGCAGGCAGGGAGTCGGTGGCAGAGCCGGGAGGGAGGGCACCAAGGGCAGGCAGGGAGTCGGTGGCAGAGCCGGGAGGGAGGGCACCAAGGGCAGGCAGGGAGTCGGTGGCAGAGCCGGGAGGGAGGGCACCAAGGGCAGGCAGGGAGTCGGTGGCAGAGCCGGGAGGGAGGGCACCAAGGGCAGGCAGGGAGTCGGTGGCAGAGCCGGGAGGGAGGGCACCAAGGGCAGGCAGGGAGTCGGTGGCAGAGCCGGGAGGGAGGGCACCAAGGGCAGGCAGGGAGTCGGTGGCAGAGCCGGGAGGGAGGGCACCAAGGGCAGGCAGGGAGTCGGTGGCAGAGCCGGCGCTTCCAGGGAGGGGGTGGGAGGGTCTGTGTCTCGATGAGCCACACAACTGATCGACCCCCCCCAACTGCTGTGCCTGCCTTGGGGGCTTTAGGCACCTGCTCCGACGAAGGCGGTGTGCACAGGTGGGGGCAGATCCCCCCCTCGGTTACACAGAGACCAATGACCCCCAGGCCACGGGGCCGCTGGAAGAGCGACACCCCGCTCAGCGCTGCAGCCAGGCAAAGGCCGGTGGAGGCTGGAGGCAGGAGCCGGCCTGTTCTTCCACGTGCCTCGAGAATGGGCCACGGGATGCTGCTCCCAGCTTGGGGGGGAACTGCTATCGCTGGGCCGACCCCCCTCCCCGCCGCGCAGAACGGAAGCAGCTTCCCCTGCGCCGCTTTGCCGAAGCCGCGGCTGCCCCAGCGGCCTGACCTCCCCAACACGGGGGCAGTGCCCCTGTTCCTAAGCGCTGACAGCCCCCAGGAGCAGGGCTGGGGGGCCGGGGCTCTCCCAGCGCACGCCCTAGATTCCGACTGGTCTCCGGCCGTGAGAAGTGGCCTGGGCAGGCTCAGGGAGAGCCCCCGGCGCAGAGCAAAGTGCTTAGGGCGTGGGGTGGGTCGCTCCGCTCGCTGCATGGGAACCTCGCCCCCCCCAGCGAAACAGCCCCTGGATCCCGATGCCGATTGGCCGGGGAGGAGGCGAATGACTCAGCGTGCCAAGGTGCGCCGGAGCCGGGAGAGGGCAGGGGTTATCAGGCTGCAGTTTCACTGGGACGCGGCCCAAGAGAGCAAACCCAGGGGAAAGCACACACAGGCTGGGGACAAGTTTCGGCTCCGAGGCTGGGCGCTCAGCGTCCCCTGCCGGAGGTTCCAGGCCTCTGCCCTCGCCTGTGTGTGGGGGGAAGAGACTGAAACCCACAGGCCGCTCCCCCTGCCGGAGAGAGGAAACGCCAAGCCGGCCCTGCCTGCTTAAGGCAGCCGTTTTCCCTTTAAGAACCGCCACGCGAGTTCACATCCAACCTCTCCCCCTTCCTGTGTCTCTGTCGGCAGGGACTTTATTTGTGAGCTGACAGCTGTAGGGAGACGTTACACAAGACGCTGTGCTGGCAAGCCAGGGCCAGGCCGGTCCCCGGCAGAACAGCTGTACGCACAGAGATTGTACAAATCACAGCCACACCAATCACAGTCACCTCAAAACAGATATTTTGGTCTTGGAAAGGGTTCAGAAAAGGGCAACTAAAATGATCAGGGGTTTGGAACGGGTCCCATATGAGGAGAGGTTAAAGCAACTGGGACTTTTCAGTTTAGAAAAGAGGAGACTGAGGGGGGATATGATAGAGGTCTATATAATCATGAGTGGTGTGGAGAGGGCCGATAAAGAAAAGTTATTTATCAGTTCCCTAAATAGAAGAACTAGAGGACACCAAATGAAATTAATGGGTAGCAGGTTTAAAACTAATAAAAGAAAGTTCTTCTTCACACAGTGTGTAGTCAACCTGTGGAACTCCTTGCCAGAGGAGGCTGGGAAGGCTCGGACTATAACAGAGTTTAAAGAGAAGCTAGATAATTTCATGGAGGTTAGGTCCATAAAAGGCTATTAGCCAGGGGATAAAATGGTGTCCTT